CTTTTTTTTCTCAGTTGTTCAATGATATTTAATGAATAAAATTTAAAGTTTAAAATTAAGGAAATTCACTTCTATTACTACTTTTTTAACAAGTCTTTAAGTGTGTGTGTGAGTGTGTAAGTGAGATGAGAGCAAAATATACACCCACACCTACCCCTCAAGTAATCGAGAATAGAAAATTCGACTCTGTCATCAAATTTTACTTTTTTTATGAATATGTTTTACTAGCAAATATAATTAAACGTTTTTCGAAGAAAATTTTCAAACGGAACTTAAAATGGGTATAGATCAGTATATTATTGTGTTTCTTTCTCTAACCTAGTATCTGTTATTAAAAAAATATATAAACTGAATACCCCTATATCTAATTTTTTCTTCTTCTACACATATATAAATATTTTCACATACTGATTCCTTTATTTGAAACTGTTTTAAGTCACTTAGACTTGGAATTTTATGTATATAAAGTTTATTTCGTATTGTTATAGAATCGAAACCATATCGATTTGATTATCGATGATGCTGAACTATTATCATCAACTATGTTTTAACTATAGAATGTTGTTGCTCTATACCTACAAGACAATATTATTGTTTTTGATGCTTCATAACAGTCAAATATTAGTGACATAGAAACTGAAAATTTTAATGAACTCAACAAATAATAATTCTTTGTATCCATATCATAATATTTATTTTAGATATATCAAATATTCGTTAATAATTTCATTTAATAGAATAGTTCACGACAATGTTCATGATTTCTGGTTTAAATTAAAAACAAAACGTACTACAAATAATTGATATTTATTATCAGCAAAGATAGCTGCATGATATTCATTGATTATCTGTGCATTGACTAAACTCGCTGACGATAAATCATCATAGAGACACAATAATAATAATAAATAGATGCTCTACTCATAATACAATCATTTCAAATTGTTAATAAACTAATTTGTTTTTTCATGAGTGATACTATTTTTCTTGCTTTTTATGAAAAAAAACTAACTTTCTAATTCGTCATTTTGGTATATACTTGTTATTCATCGGAAGAATCTAATATTATATCACTACAATATGCAATCTTGTATGGTTGTATATGCCACCTGGAGGGTGTGGGTGATAAGTATTACTTGATTCTACTCATCCACACCGTCACACATACGCTCTCTCATATACATATATAAAGATGAGATAGATACTTAAACACCTCCTTCTTTATTGTGAAATATGCAATGACAACAGGTAATAATTATTTATTTAAAATTATATAAAAGTGACAAACAATGAATCATTCTGTAATTGATTCAAATCGATTGTTCTTAGAATAAAAAGCAACATGTAATGTTCGACCATTGATCTTGTATTGCTGAGCATTTTCGATAGCATTGGCAGCTTGTTGAACATTCTTATAATGAAGAAACGCATATCTAAAATTCAAAGAAATAAGTAACAATTAAGATGTTCATTTCAATTTGACATATTATTCTTAAATGTTCTTTTTCAATTATTTATTAGATAGACTAAACACAAACTATATATGAAAGACGATACAATAATCTTCTCAAATGAACTTATCGATATTAATTGATGTTAGAATGATCAAAATCTGCGTGGGCCGAATCTCAAAGGTTGATTCATATTAAATACGGCTGATAATTCTTATGAATGGATTTTAATTCGAACTTAGAAGAAACACTCATTTCTACTCGATGATTATAATCTTTTTTTTCATATAATACAATTATTGCTCTTTGACAATAGTGGATTTTGTTAAAGCGAATTGCATTTAGTTCTATCGCTCTATTATATACTAATCGAACTCAACCTTCCATCTATTCGTAATGTATAAGACATTTTAGAAAGAAAATTAAATTAGGTATTATGGTTCATAAATGTCTACATCTTTTCAAATATAAAAAGTAGAATAATAAGGAGAAACTTCGTTTTGTAGAGAAAGGGTAAAATGTTTGTCTTCTACATTTCGAAATAGAAAATAAAATTGGAATATAATTCTTACCCCCATAAAATCTTGATCGAGGCAGATTTACGATGAATAGTCCGTGCTTGATAATAATTCGATATACGAGAGTTGGGAAATAAACGACGCAAATCATCTTCACTAACATTTTCTGGTATATTCGTCACTGCAATTGTTTGTTTATCATAAGATTGATGATCTGCAGGAAGAAACGAAGAATAATCCACATATTTGACACAACATTCCGGACCAAGACGAATATAATCAGTAGGTTGATTAAAATTGTGTTTAGCTTCCTCGGCTGTTCCATGTGAAATAAAAGCATATCTAAACAAAAAATATTCATATATAAGAATATTATTAAAGATAGAACAATACTTGAAAGACGATGTCTGACATTGTTTTATTATGACTTGAACAGATCCAAGAAAATAATTAGATAGATCAGTTTGATTTATATCATCACGTAATCCTGTTACAACAAGGGTTTTCTTATGATTTTTGAGTAGGTCTGTTTTTATTTTCTTCAAATTGTTCTTTATGGAAATTTCTGCTGTTGTTATTGTGTCTGTTGAAATCTATGATGTGGACATCTAAATAGAGTTGAAGACATTGTTTTAACAGACAAATCTCATTGAACAAGACAATTTTTCCTACTTAGAACTTGTCAGTGAAATATTACATACGAACGAAATATTAAACAAAATTTTTCTTATCGATAATTCCTCTTATATTCTTGTTTCTTTACGGAAATTCAACATTTCTATCAACGTAAAACGTTGAATTTTTATATAAATTCTATTACACTTGTGTAAATCTATATCTCCTCGATGAATATATTCGCTTAAATTTGTAATTATTGACAAGAAATTTTACAAAAATGGCATCTTTTCTAACTCATTATGTTTCTGAAACAACGACAAACGTAATAACTTACTAATGATCCCTCTTGATATTCGTTGACACTATCAGTTAGTTCTTCATTTTGCGTAGATGTTGACGAAATCAGTGATGATATTTGATCTCTTACGTTCATGAGATCTTCAAATGAGGCACACCATTCATGACTTGTCTCAATATCACTAAACATGCTTGAAATTTCCATTAATGTATCAGTTTGAGAAGATTGTTCTCCAAACATTTGCGAAAATTCAGATAAATATTTGTCGAAATCTGATTCGGTCAATGTTGTTAAGAACGAATCTTCAGTAGTTGAATTCTGAAGTATGTAGTTTCTACAATGATGAATAAAAATCTTTGTTTCACTGTTATACACAATAAAAAGCAATTGATGTATTGCAAAGAATTTTTTTTTTATATATAAGTCGATTTTTGTATAAACAACACAGTCGATGAATTCATTAATGAAAAACTTTTGAATAAATCTTTTCAATGATGTTTATCTGTATGCACAACTATTCAAGATATTTTAATACATGTCTAATTCTTTCTCAGATGATTTATCATCAATCTTTTTTGTCTAATCGTATACTGAACAAATCAGCGTTCTACGATAATAAACTACATTTATTTTCATATTTAGATCAGTTTCTTTAACATATTTTCTCTGACTAAGATGTTTGTCAAACGCATCGAACTGTAACATTGAAAAAGATTGCGTAGAAAAAGCAAAGAACTTTGAGAGATTTTTAACATATAATGATATATGTTTAACAGAGAAGATAATGTTCAGATAAAATCTAAGGAGATTTGAGAAGATTATCTATATGTATATGTATATTAGAAGAATAATGCTCAATTCTTTTTATTTTATCAAAATGTCGATGAGAACGAGTAAAATATTTCGAAATAAAAAATCTTAATGACTCCCGTGTGATTTTGTTCGTTCTGTCATTGATGTTTGTTATATATGCGAGAGAAAAATATTTTTTAACGTTTTCTTTCTTTCTATTGCGTATAAATACGGATTTACTTCAATAACTCATGTTTATCAATGATAAAAAGAAAGAGAGTAGTAATATCTTACGATTAGTTTTGTTTTTCTCCTTCTTATCTGTTTGTTTTGAGAAGGAACCAATTTTGAAAGGTTTTATAAAACAATTTCGAGGGAAGAAATATTCTATCCGCTCAGATTAAGATCATTTTCGATGAAAATTTTGAAACTAACCTGTCAATTTGTGTTTGTCCTTGAGAATTATTTTCTTCGTCTTGATTTTCTAAGGAATTCTGTACACGTGAGACAATTAATAATGAAGATAATTGATGATGTTTGGTTACAGTTGGATGAACGTCTTCCATAACCTTTTCGTTGGTTAGAGAAGGATTTTTATCTAAAAAAGCACTCTCGATTAGATATCATGTAAAATAACTGTTTTAGTCTTTCTATTGAGAATTTCTCAACATGTGACATTAACGAACTAATAAAAAAACCTGTGCGAATAAATGTTTTATATCAACAATTAATATAACATTTTACAGTTTAAATTAAAATTTGTAGATATAAACGATCAACTTTTGTTTATTGTTTTTATGATCAAAACTTTTTGATTGATATGACGAAATAGTGGGAGAAAATGTAAATGTTCATACATTTTAAAAATGAGAATTTGAGAAATAAAATCTGCTGATTAAACTCACCTTGATCGCTAGATGAATTTTGATGATCAGTTGGAATCGATGAAGTAAAATGTGAAGGAGAGTAAAATGCGTAACCTTGTTGAATCCAACTGGGTAAAGCAAATGAAATTGATTCACTTCAACTTGAATCTTCTGTAAAACTTTGAGATAAAACTCTAGTTGATAAAATAACAAATTGATTTGGATATTGAATTAATTTATGATGTTCATCAAGGAATAATGGGTCAATTAATAATCGCCCATGTTCAAGACAAATTAAAGGATTTTCTTCATTAATAATTCTTCTAAGATGTTCTCGTTGATATACAGGAATAATTAGCCAATGAAGAGGTCCACCTTGATGATGATATGTGAGAGAAAATAATTCGTGTTCATTATTTGATAGAGGATAAATTCCACCTGGTCCATTTGATCTTGTTAGAGATGATACAATATGATCAAGAACTTTGTTTCCACCTAATTGAAGTAATGATTGTTTTGGAATTGAATGAATTGAAAATGTGTCTTTTGAGAATTTTTTATAGAATAATGTTTGATTTTTTATTCGGGAAATACTTGAGTGAGCCAATTTATTTTGGGAATCTTTCAGAAAGGACCAAAATGTTTGTTCATCTGTAATTGAAAATTGCTGTTGAACATATTTTTTGGTATTTTTTTTTTCAACTGAATAAATCGATTGATCTTTACTAATTTTTGGTATTATTTGTGTAGTTGAACATATACATAAAATTTGACTTTTCTTCAAAGCCAATTGACATTGAGAATTTAATGTAATTTTAATTACACCAAATTCTTTAAGAATCTTCTCATTTTTAAATGCAAACTAAATAAAATTCTCAAGATCGGATGAGTTTATTTCTATTGAAGGTATGAATATTGACATAGTTTATTTTTATCATCATCATCAGTCGACTGCAAACAAGCGTGGTTTACAGGCGATAACTATTGTTATTTTCAGAGTCAGTGAGAGAGGAACCTAGGGTGACTAGCCCTGAGGTCCTTACCAGAGCCCATCTTCGCCGTCACATGATGACGTTTCCATCCGACACTACGTGGAAGTGAAGGGTTGGGTTTTGCCGGACTGTTTATTTTTATGAATAACTAAAATATGAACAATAAAAGTGTCTAATATTTTCTTCGATTGTTTTTCATTTCATAATAGAATTATTACAATCGATTAGATTTTTCAATATCAAGACATTTTTTTCAAAATATTCTTTATTAAAAAATGTAAATTAGCTCAGCTTAAAAATAACCTTTCACAAAACTTAATCAGCAAAGAGTCGCATTACGTAGACAAGTCTAAATACTCCGTAGAATAAAATTTCAGAGATTCCAATATGATTTCTAATAAACATAAATCAACAGAAAATTGTTATGAATTAACAACTGTAATAGACTTAATTCTGTCAACGAGAATATCCGAGAAGTTTTTTCGTCTATTTTTCCTATTTTTATTGAAGTTTATCAATCTTGAAATTCTAAGGAAACATGTCAACTTTAGACAAATCCAAAGGATATTTGATATGATTATGAAAAACTATGAACGCAGATGCAGATTAGGGATATATTAGTGTAAGTTCATGTATCGTTTTGTTTTCTTTAACTATTGCAATCTCTTCGTGTAGTTTTCTATAAACTTTGTTCGAATAGATATTTGTGTATAATTCGGTAAGTTCTGTCTGAACATAAGAAATAACTCAAAGAAAAACTTGGAATTGATTGCATTTTTTAAAGAAAGACGAATTGTTTTACTTCAATCTACGTAAACTGATAATTTTGTCGAAGATATTCAAATTCGGTATATTCATCAAGAATTTTCCAGCAAACTTTTCTTAAATCTTGTATGTTAGAAAACAATTTAATATCTTTGTCCTTCTCTCTCTCTCGTTGTGTAGTCACATGTATATTTTTTTTTCATCACCTTTATGTGCACATTTTTTCTGTTCTTCTATTTTTTCTCTAGATATATATATCAAGGACAATCTTTTTTTTCGTTCTCTATCTGTTCATAAGAATTAATGGAGTTTTATATTCGTTTTCTTTTTCTTTTATTACGTAATCATCAAAGAAGATGATGCGATCTTCTTTGGATTGATTAACATTTACACGCTCGAAGGTTCCGTGTATAGACACTTTCGTGCAAATTGAGGAAAAGTTAATAGACTACTTTTTTTTACAAAAAAATAACAGTTTTGCATAAAACTCCGTAAGGAAACTATTTTTAGCTTACTACCCATTGATCAGTATTTCGTGACACCCCTCACTCGGTGCTATGCCCACTCTATCCTGGTGCTAGTTATTTCTTATTATTTTTTGGTAAAAAAAAATTTATAACAAAAAAAACTTTCGTAAACCCTTAGAATTCATCATTCAGAGCGGTTTTGTCGCAAATTCAAATTCCTCATCATATGAGAAAAATAGTTCTCAACTTCAAAAATATATTCATATAAATTATTAACATAGATAAATAGTATTTATTTACAATAAAAATTAACTGAGAACAAAGAGCGTAGTCATTCAGAAATTAAACACTGATCTGACTATTTCAAAATAGTCGCTCCCTGAAATAGCATGTAATTCTTTGACACTGTTTCGTATTCGAAAATCAATTTTTTCATATTTTGTGTGTTAGCCTTTGCTTTCAATTGATTTTATAAGAGATATATTTATTTCTTAGAAATTATTAAAATAATACACACATATATATAGGTATGCATTCGCTTTATATTTTTATCTGATTTGTATTGTCCAGTATTAATCTCATTAGATGCAAAAAGCAAGTTTGATGTTAAAACTAGATAATCTTTTGATTCTGATTAGTATTTTTTTAATAATTCAATCTCGCAAACTGAACATTTTTATTTTTGTTAATACATATGAGTAGTCTAATTAGATGAAAACAGAACGAAAAAATTTTTACTTTATATACAAACGTTACATGCGTTCGTGTCGCGTCTTCTTTGCCTAAAGCTACCTTCATACAAAGAGAGAATATATATATATTATCGATCTTCGTGTCTTTGTTTTTTTCTCTCTGAGTTACCGTTTGTATAATATAAAAGACATCTTTTTTTCTTTGAAATGAATTTTTGTGGACTGGAATATTTTTGCAGAGAGAAAGCTCTGTAAAACAAATATTTATTTAAAAAAATCTCAACTGACAGAAGATATTGCATTGCAATTTTTTAATGGAAAAAGAGTCTTTTCATCTGTCTATAAAAAAATGCTAAAGTCGAATCTTCGATAAATTTTTCTAATGTAGATTTTATTTAAGAAAGAGTTATTCAGCATCTCTTTTAAACTAAGACTGTTGAATTATTCTCAAAGAGAAAACGTTTCTTTTTATCAAAACAAATCTCTTTGATATCATTAATAACGAATTTAATCGAGATTTATCTCATTTCTCTATGCGTCAAATGAGAAAATTTTTGTTTAACTTACATTTTTCTTTGAATTGTCCAATAAAAAGTTGTTTTCATTAGAAAAATCTTTTATCAATGATATTAAGATTGAAGAGTAAATACTGCGAGTTACAATTATTCATAGCACAGAGCAGTACGAAACGGGCTAGTCAGATATTTTCATTGCTTTCATGTCAATCGTATAAAAAAGTATATTTTTTTGCCTACGTAATTAACGTCCTAAGAAAAAAACAAAAACGAAACAACACACTGACTATGAATATTTTACGTTGTCGATGATGCATTTCACTTGTTTCAAACTTGATTTTTATTTCAAAGTATAATTTCTTTTCTTTTTGAGTATCAAAAAACAAATCTGAAGAAAAATTTTTCTCCAATATTTTTTTAATTTGAGAAAGAATTTATTAGAAAAATGAAATATTCGATTGAGAAAAGATTTACCAAGTGAATTATTTAATCAATTCTACTTAAACATCAACAAGAGAATCTCTTCATTTGTTTTCTTCTTATTTTATTACGAAAACATCGAAGTACATTGAAGAAGAACAGTTACACCGTGCGACAATTATTCTGATCATCACACAATTTAGAATACAAATAATGACCAATAGAAGTATAGTTTAGATAGAAATAGTCATTCAAAAAGAGATATTTTTGATCGCCAGATTTTTCATAACCATCTAATATATTTATTTCTCCGAAAAAAAATGATGATTGAAATGATAAACAGATAATAAATTTCTTGGGATGTTCTTTTCTTTTTTTTTGTGCATCTAATACTTCAACACGTGTCATAATAAACGAACTGAATATTTATAAGAGTAGATTTTCAGTCCAATCGAAGAAGAGCATCAATCTAATGAGACAATCTATCAGCAAGGTTGTTATCACATGAAAATATCATTAAATGTATTTAACGACGAGAAATATAGATATCTAATCACATTGAAGATGATATTTGAGTATTAGACGATGAAACAACATATTTGTATAAAAATCTGTTGATTAAAAGCGTCTTTTTTTAGGCGATTATTTGTATCAAAAATGTGTAGTGACCGAAACTATTCTGTTTTGCTCATAATTTAATATTTAAAAAGTTTGGTGATAAAAAAAATATTTTATTCGTGTATATTGGTGACAGAATGAGAAATTATTCACTCTGATTTTTCTTATTCTTCTTATCTATACACACAAAATCTTGTTATAATTACATTTTTTTTTTGCATCCAGAAAAAAAGACGAATAAGAAAAATATTTCGTGTTTTTTCACCTTTACACACAAAACCTACGTAAACAAATGGTATTGCTAAGAAGGACGATGCATATTAATAAAAAGAGAGCAGACATCATTAAAAAATTAATATTAAAAAGATCAATCTTGATAAATTATTTTTCTCATA